CCTCCCCCCCCCCCCCCCCCCATTTCCTTCTGGACTCCTGTATTTTTTTTTCTCTAGGCCTCTATCCTTCCCACAGGTGACAGAGCAGTCAAGCAAACCCCAATGCATCTACAATCAGTGAAGTGTATCACTTCTCTTCCCCCCCCATCCTCAGTGTTGCCTCCATCCCCTCCTGTCACTGAGCTGGAAGCCCCCAGGATCCCATCCCCAACCACCCTGCAGGGCAGGGCTTCCCCTAATAGCAGTGTTTCTATTCTTAGTTCTGCTTGTGTTGTCTGAACCTCAGATCTTGCTCATGTGAATAATTTTCCTCATTATCTCATGTTCGTCTCCTCTCTCTCTCTTTTCTCCTTGTCTCACTGCCTTTCCAATCTGCTACAGCTGCTTGAATACTAAAGCAATTGAGTCAAACCACTTTGTCATCAGGAATATGTTTTCATTCTGTGATAACTCAATAATTTGATTGGTTTCTTTCTGCTGCCACACCTTGCTTCGTGGAAGAGAGTTACAAGAGGTGCTACGTTGCATGCGTGTATGTTCACGCACCGGAGGGCTTGAATGAACCTACTGATCTCACTTGCTCGAGTGAGGACGGCAAAATCCAGACTGCAATGGGTTATTTCCATTGCCTACGTATTAATCTCACCAGCCGGTTGTGTGTGCACGTAGAAACATCCAGGCTAGATTGCGGCACGTTGATTTTATTAGCCCAGTGCAAATAGTGACTCATCAAAGCAACAACAGTCATTCATCATCCAACCCCCAAAATGGGAACATCAGCTATACATGAGGTCAGGTGAAGACAGAAAGTTGGACTCACCCCTGGGAGTGTCTTCTGTTCATGCAGTGCACTCTGGGCCTTTAGAGCGGACTCCCTTTCGCAGTATGTTAGGAAGGCGCAGCCTGCAAACGAAAGGCAACACCTCATTAAGTCCAGTGGCGCAGAGTGGATCGGCTTAGAAGTGGGGTGCAGAGTAAGGCCAGTCTTCTCCCCCTGGCAGAGGGAGCTGCACCCCTCCCCTTCCTTGAGCCAGGTGCTTTTCCTGAAATAAAATCATATCCTCTGGTGAAGCACAAAAATGGGCAACAATGCCACATGCACATGGTGGGGACAGGGACAGACAGGGGACAGCAGGGGGAGTTGAACTTACAGAGACACATGCATAAGTCCCGATGGAAATAGGGAGTTCAGAAACCCCTCCCACACCACCGTTTGTTAATCTGGTTGATATTTTATTCCTGTCTGGTCCTATCCATGAGGAATTAGAAGGGGATTGTTCAGCCAAGACCTTCACCGGCACATGAAGGATAGTGCTGAAGCCCTCACGCTCCCCCTTTCCTACCATGTACTCAGAAGAAAAGGCACACAAGGACTTGGGACTTCTAACTGCAGAGGACTATGCCTAGCACTTATCCTGACTTGCATCCACAAGTAGCCTCTATTTGCATGCTTACAGATGAGAAACCCTCCCGTACTCTCAGCTACAAGGACTCGTTGGCTCATAGCCACGTGCAGGATGACAATGGCATCAAGACCTATGCACACACACAATCCCAAACCCCACCTTTCAAACAAATCATTCAGACTTGCCACAATGGTTCAAGGTATTGATCCATCTGGCAGGACCTCTTACCAGTCACAGGGAACCAATATCTATTAAGATCAAGAAAAATAACACCCCCACATCCCCAACTATGCAACAAGTCAAGACTTCAATGTAATAATCCAGTTTGTGCGTGCATGTGTGTGTACACGCCCATGTGTGTGTATGATCAGATTTTTTTTTTTTTACTGCAGTATACCAAAAGCCTGCCAGTTCCTGCAGCAAAAGTGCTTGATATGCAGAGGACACTTTCCCTACAAGGTCCTACAAAACGTCTGCAACCTCTCCGGCTCCTTGAACAAGAGATATCAGATCGTGGCTGGCACATCCGGCTCTGAGCATCTTCCAAAGGTGGGGACAAGAAAAAGGGCAGGTCTTTTTCACAGCAAAGCCCATGTGTGTTCATCATCACTCTTGCCTTGTCCCACCTTGCCTTGCCCCCTTTGGCAGTGCAGTCACCTGTTACATTTTGCCCTCAGCACAGATTGCGATCTCTCTCAGGCACATGCAGCCTTTGCAGTTTTGGTCGGTGTGCCTAGATCTTCATTCCTAACTGGGATCCTTAGGTGCTACAATAGAAGAAATAAAACACCTTGCTTCTTCTCTCCTTTAAAGAAGTTCTTAAGAGATTGGATCAGAGGGTGGACTACATAGAAAAAAATATACATTTCCAAAGCTTTATTTTTTAAGGACTGATACTGCCACCACCCAGAAATCTGCTGATCATTTGAATTTGAAAAACAACAACAAAACAAAACAGAAAAGGCTATTGGGTTATTTTATCCTGCTCCTTTCTGCAGGGCTCGTTCCCTTCAGTATACCGAGACCAATTGCACATGTATCAGTTGACTGTCTCTCAGAAACAAAGCAACAGTGAGATAAGCAAAGGAGGCAGAGCAGCAAAGATATTTTCTTTCTTCTACTTGGATTCATTCATTGCTTCCATTTCACATTAAATGGATTGGGTTTTTAGTTCTTTATTTTATTTGTAAGGGGAGGGGGGGAGGGAGACGGGTGCAGTGGCGGAGAGGGCTGATAGAGAGGGCAGGTAATGGATTGGAAAGGGTTCTTTAAGATGTTTCCCACAGCTTGAGAAGCAAATAGGAAAACTATGCCTAAATTTAATTTCAGTGCTAAATCACAAGCTGAGAGCTCTCTGCTGACCAGACACAACAAGAAAGTCTCCCTTTGGTAGCAGACCTGAACCAGTTGATATAGTCTAATTAGGCACATCATAGTGCATGGCTATAGAAATAAACTATACAGTGTAAAAATCCCATAATGGTAGCTATATTTTTCCTCCGATTGTGATCGCCCTGACAACAGCTTCAAGTAACAAAGTCCTATGACTCTTACCACATTGTGCCCGTAATTCAGACACTGCAGGTGGCAGACTCCTCCTCTAATTATAAAAGCAGGGTTTCCTGCAGGGATCCAAAGGTAGGATAAGTTATCAGGAGGGAACATGAGGAATGAAAACCCTTCTACCCACAGTTGCATGCACACATAGTGGACTGGAAAAAACTCCCAGGTATGTTGCATATAATGGAGCATAGCAAAACATCACTGGATTCCCCAAACAAGGCACTCCAGATATAGATTTTTAAAAGGAAAAAAAAAAGAAAAGAAATTCAATAAGAGGCTTTTACATGGCCTGGCACAGGGGAAGAAAATGGATCAAATTTTTCAGACCAAAAAAACAAAAAAAAACAAAACCCAGCTTTCGTCAAGGTAACTTTTCAGCGAGCTCCGTAATATACGGCATGCGTGAGAGTTATAATTTATGTCGATCTCTGTTCATTAGGAAAATTGATGGGACAGCCTCAGTGACACCTTTTTAAGGAAGAAATATTTAAGAGAATTTAGTGTGGGTGGAAGTTGCCTGATTAACAGCGTCAGAAAGGAAAGCCCCATCCCCACCAACCAGTGAAAGAGCAGGCAGAGACAGTGCAAGTCTCCCCGTATAACTTGGCTGTGTGGCAAAAATGACTTGAAGGATGGGGCACGCTGTGGCTGACGCACTTTGGCTTCTCAGGCGAGGTCCCTGGGACACAATGCCAGTTACAGGAGCTCCCTATCTTTCCTCCTCTCTACCCCACAAAGTCTTTCCCAACTGGACTGAGACTTTGCAGTAGAAGTGAGCAACCAAAGTCTTCCTTCTGCAGGACATGCTAATACTTCCATATCTGCATCCCCGCCAAATTCAGGATGGGGAAAAAAAAAATTAAATAATAATACCTTCCTTCCCACCCCAAAATAAAGAAGTTCTGGGGAAAAATAAAATCAGAAATGTCAAAGAAGCTACAAAACTCTGCTTGCTTGTCAGAACTTCCTAAATGTTAAATGCTGGAGGGTGCAAATGGGAGAAGAACAGGGGGGAAAGACCTGGTGATACCCTGCTCGCTCTTCCTTTCAGTGTCCGTGCTCTGCATGATGTGATACTGGAGACTGGCAAAGAGGAACCTATGGTTTGACCCAGAAAACGGCTGCTCTTATGTTCTTGCCTGCCATTCTGCAGGCCTCAGAGGAGGCAGGTTTCTGAGGTTTGCACCCATTCTTTTCCTGGGGCTGAGCTACTTGGACAAACTACATCTCTCCTGATGCATCTACAGTGCAAACTTCTTCAGGGGAAAAAAAAAAAAAATCCAGGGATGCTCGTTGTACTGGCTCGCTCCACAAAACAGCTTGCCACCAGCGAGCAGGGCTAGCTGAGAGTCTGGCTTATAGGCGATAGGCTTTTTCTCTCTTCCTCAATTGCTTAAACCTTCCAGAGCTGCATGCCATCCTACTATAATGAAGCTTTAGAAACCCATCTTTACAGCAAAGATAGATTGAAGGACAGTCTCTCCATCTCCATGAATGGAAAGGATGATAATAAGCTATCAAAATGCACAAGGATTATTTCTGCATTAGGAAAAAAAAATAAATCTCGTTGGCTAATTATTGATAATAAAACAGAGTTTGTCCTAGTTGTTCCTAATTTCATTCCAGCTTCTCTGGACCGTGCCAAGTTTTCCAGACACATGTCAATCAACTAAACAATGCACGGTTTGGCTCGCCCCCTCCTAGCTGCTCGTTTGCTACCATTGGGCAGCTCTTTGGGCTAGTACATAAACATCTGGAATCTCCCAGCTGGCAATTAACTCTCAACCTATTGAACTGCAGTCTCTTGGAAACATGAGGATGTATCAAGTGGTCTCCTGGGAAACTAGGTTGTTAAAGAGAAGGGGAAACAAAAACAGGAGCTGGAGATGGAAAAAGAAAAGCTCTATTTTAATTTTACCTCCAGGGAATTCAATAACGTAAATAATAATTGCATGGAATACAGATGGATAATAATTGCAATGATGGTGACTCCAGCTCCATGATAAATCCCCTAAAGAATATGCTCAAACTGGCAGGGGGTAAAACAAAGTCACAGGGCCCGAATCTGTTCTGAGCAATGCCTATGGAAATCCAGATTACTGACTTGGGCTCTGTTTGCACCAGGCAGTCTGACATCAGAAGCTGAATCCCTCAAACTTAAATCCATTTTGCTTAGCATCTCAGCCCTGAATTAGTTGCTGAAGCATTCAGAAATGTTTGGCTACAGTCAAGCAGAGACACAGTTCCTATTGTCTCTACTCTTCAGTCACCCAAGGGATCATGCATTATCAGGACCTTTAGTAATACTGCAGTGATATATCCCGTGGGATGAAAATGACGCATATTGGCTAACTATTAATAGTTGTAATTAAGGGATTTTTTCCCCCCGTCCCTGTTGTATTTTGGCAGAAAGCCACAGGTATCCTGACACAGCCTGTCTCCTTTGCTTGCTCACTAGAAGACAAGCACTTAACTTGAGATCCTTCCTTTACCTTTTTACCTTACATGTATTTTGGTGACAGCTTCTAGTTTATTCTACATACATAGCAACACATAGAACTAGCTTGCAGTTAACAGGTTTAACACCATCATGAATTTCCTCTTGTGGAAGTGCTCCTCTTGTAGATAGAGCAGGGCCCAGGGTCACATTTCTTTTAGTTATTTGCTGTGTGCCCAACTAGTAGCTTAAGACCTGGTCTCAATGCCAGCAGAAAATCAAGAGGAAGACAATCATCAACTTCAACAGGCTTTGGAGCAGGTCCTTAAAGGTGCCTGTACATCAAGAGATCAGCACTGTTGTGAAGCCTAATTAAAAGTCTGCAAGGTGCTTTGAGATACTCAGATGAAAGCCAAGAAGCTATGACCAGTTCTGATCTCACCGGTCTAAATCCAAAGACGAAACCCATAAAAGTCAGCCCAGTCTATGCATAGTCA